TTCTTCAGCTATGTCGACTGGTGATCTTGAAAGATAATCTGCCATATAATTTTTCTTACCTTGAATATGTTTCACCTTAAATCGATATTCAGCTAATTTTAATCGCCATCGTTCACATCTTTTATTTAATTGTTCTTTGTTTGTAAAATGAATTAATGGTTCATGGTCAGTTTCTAACATAAATTCATGTCCACGAAGATATTTGTCCCATTTTTCTATTGCTTGTACTATTGCATAACATTCTTGTTCAATTGTTGGCCACTTAGTTTGTGCTTTTGTTAATTTCTTGGACATATATGCTAATGGTCGATCACCATTGGGAGTAATTTGTAATAGAACAGCACCAATTCCATCTACAGAAGCATCAGTTTGTAATTTAAATAATAATGCATCATCAGGTAAATCGAGAATAAGATCAGTTGTTAATATTTTCTTGAGTTGGTGGAATGCTGTTCTAGCTTCAGCAGATAATTCAAATTTTAATTTTTTATTGTTCTTTTGTTGTTGTACTGTTGCTGGAGAATATTTATGTAATGGTGCAGCGATGGTGGAAAATTTTGGAATAAATTTTCGGTAATATTCTGCTGCTTTGACGAATCTAAATGCTTCTTCAGGTGATGTCGGTTCACATGTATCAGTTAAACCACGGATGTTGTCTGGATCAGGTTTAATAGTACCAGCTTTAATTAAATGTCCAAGAAATAATATTTCTGTTCTAGCAACTTCGCATTTATCAACATTTAATTTAAAATTTGCTTCTTGTATTAATAAACACTTCTTCAATATGTTTTAAATGTTCATTAAAATTTTGTGAGTAAATAATAATATCATCGATATAGGCGAGGACATGTTTCCACCTATTTGGACCTAATATTTGATTAACAATTCGTTGAAATGTTGGTGGTCCATTAGTAAGACCTTGTGGTAATACTTTAAATTGAAAATGTCCATCTCGAGTTGAAAATGCTGTTTTTGGTCGATCTAATTTGTCTAATGGTACTTGAAAATATCCAGCTTTAAAATCGAATTTCGTAAAATATGTTGCTTTTGTTAATTGATCATAAATATCATCGATTCTTGGTAGTGGAAAAGCATCTTTTGTTGTCATTTGATTCAAACGACGATAATCGAGACAAAATCTTGTTGTTCCATCTTTCTTATTTACTAAAACAACAGGTGAAGACCATGGTGATGTTGAATTTTCAATAATTCCATTTTTTAATAATTTATCTGTTTCTTTTCTTAAGGTTTCCTGATCTTTGTTTGATTTTCTATATGGTGGAGTATGAACAGGACGGTGTGTACCAGTATCAATAGCATTTTTTAAGATTATATCAATTTTTGATGGTTCACTAATGTCAAATAATTTTCCATATTTCCATAAAATTTTTAAAATTTGTTCTCGTTGTTTATCATCGCTAATATGTTCAGTTAATTTATTTATTTGCTGTCTTATTTCGTCAGGATAACATTGATTTCTAAGATGCTTGAATAATTCATTGCTAGTATCAAAATGTTGATAACATTTACGACATTGATGTTGTTTTCCATGTGGTGTTATCGTTGGTATGTTGTTACCATTTAATTTATTTGATTTATTCGCTCCTTTCCCTTCAGGAATGAGCTCTTTACACGCTTTTCCTTCCGGAATGCGTTCTATCAAATAATTTGATGGTATGGTAACACCAATTGTAGAAGATAATTGTGTCACTATACCTAATTTGGTTCCTTCGGAAAGTGTTTGTTGTCGATTCGTTGCATTAATTATACTAATTTTTATTCGTCTATTTTCAATGTTCAGTAATGCAGTTGCAGTAAATAATGCTTTATTTTTTAATCGAGGATTTGCTTCAAATAATACATCTATCATATTGTAATGTTGAACTTGTGCTTCTACTATTTTTTCTGAAAAAGGAGGACGAGTAATATGATTAGTAAGAGTAACTGGATAATTTAAAAGAGGTGGTTTTACAAAAGGAGTTGATACTTCTTTACCTCGACTTCGAATCATAATTCGTTGTTCAGGTGTAAGAATATAAACATTGTTTGATTGGATCCAATCACTACCTAATATTAAATTTGTAACAAGATTTGTTGTAACATCAGCAATAATTGTTGTTTTTATTCCATTAACATTTATTTCTAAAGGTATTTCACCAATAATATTTAATGTTGAGCAATTTGCAGATAAATGATTCATTGTTTTTGGTATTAATTTTTCATGTGGTATATCATTTAATAAGTGTTGATGTATAATAGTGATGGCCGATCCGGTATCGATAAGTGCTGTTTGTGGAGTGTTGTTGCATAAAATTTTGACAAAAATAGGATTAAATGCTGTTGTGGTTGATGACTGTTTTTCTCCACAGGGATCGTCGCCATCATCCGATCCCTTTATTCGAAAAAATGTTGTTGAGGACAATCACGTATTTGATGATTTGATTGTCCACATTTAAAACAGCCGTTGTTCTTCTTATAAAAACATTTTATTGTTGCATGATTGTTTTTATTGCAAATTAAACATGGATTGGATTTTTGAATTTTATTTTCTGAATAATTTTCTCGATGTTGTTGGCGATTTATAAACTTATTTGGTTTTGAGTATGTTCGATTGTTTGTTAATGATGGTAGCTGTTGATGTTGTTGTTTGTAGTAATGACGTGATGTAGAGGGCTGTTGACTCGACAATTGAAAGTTCGATGGTGTTGGTTGAACTGTTGCAGTTGGTAATATATGTTCAAAAAATGTTTTATTTGTTGTTCCAGAATATGAACCATTACGTTGTTGTTGAATTCGTTTTTGTATATATTCTTCTTCTTTTGCTAATTGCAACCATTCTTCTGGTTTTTTAATTTCTTTTTCATTACGAATTAAATATTCTTTTAATGAATTTTTAACACCATTTTGTAATACTGTGATAACTTGTTGTTCAGTAATAAATTGTCGGGATTTTCTATATTTCCGAATTACATTTTCATAAAATGATATAACAGATTGGTTCTCTTCTTGATGAATGTTAAAAAATTCTTGCATTAATTGACTGTTAGATGTAAATTCTTTGAATCGATCACGTAGTGCTTTTTCAGCATCATTCCAGGTAATGAATGATCTTAAATTTTCTTGATACCATCGTAATGCTGGTCCTGTTAATTTGCCCATTGTTTCGAGAACTTTTATTTCATCTTTTAATTTCATTAATGAAAATAAATTATTTAAATCAAAAATCCATTCATCAATATCAATCTCATCAGCTTCTCCTGAAAATTCAGCTATTTTCTTCATTACTTCTTTTTGGCTTAAATAAATTTGTCGACCTTCCATCGAAGTTGTTTCCATTTCTTGCATAAATGACATATTGTTTTGTTTTTTATTTCTTATTCGTGTTGGTGAATTAGTAATTAATTCATATGATAAAATATTTGCTCCACTTTTTTTAATCGCTCTTCTTGTACCGGTAGCCGTTGTTAAAAAAATGCACTTAAAGGAAGGACAAAAAATTTGAACTTTATACAGAAGAAAATTACCTTCTTCTAATGAATAAATAATATATATGTATGTAATTTTTCTCTCTCTTCCCTTAAAAGGATGAGATTATACTTCACTCTTTCCGTTACGGATGAGTAAATTAATTAAGGAATTCGTTCTTCTTCGGTGTAGTAAATAGAAGAAGATGGGTCACGGCACCAAATTGTTAGCTCGCTTCGACGAGCTTACGTTTGTTTATTATCTCTATATATTAAATGTCCTTAAATCACGTACATATATATATAACAACAGAGAAGAGAAAAAAAGAAAACAAGAGGTATAACAATAACAGTGTTAGAAGAATAAGAAGAATAGAGATAGAGATAGAGAGAGCAAGGGTTCGGTGATGAATCACCGCTAACACTTACTAAATTAGATTTTCAGTATCCCAAACCATTAAATTAAAACTTATCATTTCCTTGGTGCCTATACCCAATAACGAGTTTGATCTCCTCTTGGTATATTTTTTATTTGAACTTGTTTAAATTTAAATTTAAACACCCAATTGAAACGATTTTAATTAATTTAAATTGTATTTAATATTTAAACAAGTTGAATCTCTTAGATATAAATTTTAAGAAATCTAAAAATAAATTTTTTGAATTGTTTTCTTTATTTGATAGATTTTTGTATATGTAAATTCGTCATCCTTTTATCCAAAAGTATCACTAAATGCAAAGAATCTTCTTTTGTAAATCGAATATTCTTTTTATTAATAAGTCACACTTACATTAACAAAGTACGAACTAAATTCATATTTAATAGTATTGTACACAGTATCATCAGTTACTATCAAGTAGTCCAAATATGAATTCATACCAATAATTATTCAAATTATAAATAACTCGAGACTCTTTTCTTCACAAATAAACAAACAAAGTTGTCGTACACATTATACTAGCATCAGTCTTTACTAAATCTTTTCGAATTGTTCAATATTTAAAACAATCCTTGGTTGAACGTTACGAAACACGTTTTATTTCAATAAAAACCTAGTGAAATGAGTTTTCAAGGAAGAAAAAAATATTTTTCTTATACTTTGATGTTCAATATTACTCTAACTACCAATCAGACTTATAGAACAGTCTAGCAGCCTAAACATTTAGAAGAATTCGATTTTAATTTTGCGTTTGGAAAGTTTGGGTCATGATTTTCATGTTGAGAAACAGTGCAAGGAACAAAATATTCAAATCCCATTTAGTATAATTTCTAAAATAGTGCCAGAATTAACTTTGCTTAACTCGTACGTTTTGTGCAGATAAATTCCTGCAAGATTCTGTATACAAAACGGATATATTTTGCATCATTTCAAACAAAAACGATGCAAAATGCGTTTGAAAAGGAAACGCGTTTCACATTTCTCCGAATCTGTGTCTCTGGAACGCGTTAGCTATCGACCGAAATGCGTTCGACATTATTTTACTTCGGAAACGCTTCGAAACGCAATCTTGGAAAAACGCGTTTCAGATCGTTTCAAAAAACGACAGCAGCAAAACGCATTCTATAGAAGTAAGAATGCTGTGAAACGCGTTCTATATTGAAAAAACGCTGCGAAACGCATGCTGCAATCTCAGAAACGCGTTACGCAGTCCGTTTCCTTGAATATTTTACTCCATGGGCATGATATTTTGTACTATCAAAATTTGCTTTTAACCAATCCAGTTGATTTGCGGCCGCTTGTACGAAAGGTGTCGCTTTCAAAGTGGCAAAAGTCTGTTTTACATCATTATTACAAGATTCAGCTTCGGCTGTCTGTTTGCCGGCATTCTCTTTTCGATAATCTGCTCCACTTTCCAATAAACAGCGAACAATTTCTGGATGTCCATACCAAGCACTAACATGTAGAGCTGTACTTCCTGTTCTCTGTGGTAGATCAGGTTCAGCCCCTTGTTCTGTTAAGTAATAGACAGCTTCTAGATTGCAAGCACGTGCTGCACAATAGAGTGGTGTATGTCCTGTTAGTGAATCTTGTGAATTTATTGTTTTTAATGTAGCATCTTCTAAACGACTTTTCAATGTTTCTATGAGCTCAGGCTCAGAAGCTAGCTGTTGTAATGTATATTTTTCTAGAGGTACATGTGATATCCATTCTTCGGTATCATTATATTTTTTACGTTTGTCATGATCCGATAATGTTTCATAAGCGCGACAAATAAGTTGAAATTGTTCAGCTGTAATTTGACGATCTCCAGTGGTTTTAAGTCGATCCTGTGTATATTCATGAATTTTTGCACGAAATGCTAAACGTAGATTATAATCATTATGGTTTCTTTTTGCTCCAAGTATGTCGTATGGTGTTAAAGTTGACGCCCGCATCGTATTTCTTTTTGCTTGCAAAATTACTCGCCCAAAGAAAAGAACGTTGCTTATCGAAAAAATAAAAGAAAATACCCTGATAAAAGCTGTTTTTATCTTCCTTTCTTTAAACTTGGTTCTCTCCTTACTATATAATTTGGATTTTTTCTAATGATTACTCAAGACACATGCTTCTATGAGAAAAGTGTCACATAAACAGGAGTGATTTTCACATGATTTAAAAATGGATGGTGACAAGGGTGTGGATGTGGGTGCTGATTTGTCTTCACTCACACGCACCCATGTCCACTCCGAAGCCTGCACACCCACATCCACACAACTGACTTTAGAAAACTTGACTGAAAACCAAATATCGAACTTTCTAACTCCAATGGTGCGAAATTCATCCAACTTAGATTACGGATCACTAACTACACTTCAGATCGGAGAATTGAGAATGTGTGCGACTGAAAGTAGAAGTAGTTTACTCGTTTGCTTAATATGTGCATCTTCCTTCAAGAAGAAGATAACTATATCAGCATTAATTATGGAAAATCAGAACTTACTACCTTCACAGATCGATAAGAGAAAACATTTCTGTTTATAATACTTAAATCCTCATTTATGCTGTAGCTCCGCTTTAAAGCTTCCAAGTTGCTCTAAATCGATATATTTAGCGTGTAGTTACACGAAAACCTAAGCAAAATTTTTATGCTAGATGTAGATACATTTTGTTTACGACAATGAAGGAATCGTTTTTTTTTTCAGTATGAACTGTATCCGAATCGAGATTTTCTTATTCGTTTCGGTCTCTGATTCAATTGTACTTTTAAGTTTTATGTCATTGCGCTTTCAAGCTTAGTTTCTATTCAATTTAACATAAAATATACAGTCTTTGGTCAAAGCTATAGATGAATCAAAGAAAATTATATTGAATAAGGAACAACAGACTTGTATTTCGTGTATAGCCTTAACCAACAAAATGTGCGATCATCAATGCAAGTACTAGATTTGAAATGCATCAGATTAACTTATAATAATTAAGAAAATAAAGTTAATGTTTTTTTTCTATCAAATACTTGCTGTTGAAATTGTTGAATAAATACAGATATTTGTGTTTTAAGTGCATTATTTGTCAATAAAGTGGTGGACATAAATTTAGGACATTTTTGTTTTTGCTATAACTCAGCCGCATCTACAGCTAGAGACCTGATTCTTTCATAGTTAGAAAGATCTTGTTAAGGACTATGTAACCTGAAAAAATAGTAAAGATCAGATGTGTTTTGGATGAGTCATCACGAAAACAACTTTATCCCAGCGGACATAAAATTAGGACACTTTTAATATTTTGCATTTTCTGACCTAGCGATTTTACTGAAAAA